TGGGAAGGGGCGTGGTGAGTGCGCGCTGCAGAATGAACGACTGACCCTGGGTGTGGTGTGGGGGTGCACGTGCACAACAGGACAGAAGTCAGCTGATGAGGGCTGGGGCTCTGGGCTTTTCCAAGTCCACGCTACCAAAAAGGGGTGGGCGCCGGGCCTCGCACCTCGGCTCCGGGTCTCACCCCCTGTGTGTGGGAGACTCCCAGGCGTGGCCCCAGCTCCACGCTGGCCTCACCTCCCCCCAGCCTTCCTCTGCTCACCAAAGCCCATCTCGATTTAACCGAGGGGCTAGTTCTAAGCCTCCGAGTTGACATCAGAGGGCCCAGGGATTCCCCTCACCAGCCCAGGCTGGAAATAAGGGACTGGAATTCCAGGCTTCGTTCTGTCACTGATCTGCTGTGCTGACTCTGAATAAAACTTCCCCTCCCTGATTCCATCCTGATGTCACATCTGAAGCTTCTAACTTCTACTTCCTGGGCTCCGGATTCCCATGCAACCCCATGGAGTGTCCCACGGGGTCAGAGCTCTAACGGGGTACTTGGAAAATAATCAGAAATTTGGTGGATGGCTCTTTTCTCTCTTTTTTAAAAATCATCTAGGTTTTAATTTCCCTACGTAATAATAGTGGCAGCATTTGAAAACTGCTACTACTTTTCAATGAGGAACCTGAGGTCCAGCGGCTAGTGACTCACCTGAGGTCACCAGAATTGTCACCTGCTGCATACTGGAGTCTACACAGCTCGGGGTTCTTGGTTTCCTTTCCAGCAGTTCTCAGCCTTCACCACTTCCCTTCCATTTCCTGCTGGCCCCAGCCCAAGCCTCAGCTCACCAGACAAGCTCCATTTGTGGAAACTGAGGCCCAGGTAGACAGAGATTGGCCCAGGCCCATTCTCCAAGGAGGTGGACAGGGGCTAGCCCTTCCCTCATTGGCCCTCTGGTTTCTTGGCAAGGATCTGCCAAGGTCATCAGCCCAGGGCCATGGCCAGTGGCCCCAAGACAGCCTTTCCGTCCCTCAGCACCTGTCTGGAGCCTTGGCCAGAGTGCGGGAAGGCTGACAGCAAGAGCTCAGGGGTCAGCAGAACTCCCGCTCTCTTGGGGCAGCTTACAGAGCGCCAGTCGTGAGCTGAACCTGCATTAGACACTTGTGGTGGAAGACAGATTTGTTCGGTGATTTGCTAAGAAGCTGCTATTGTTAGCCTCTGGGGATATATCAGTGCACTAACAGGCAAACATTTCCGCCCCTGGCAAGCAGACAAAAAAGAGAGAGGGGTGCCTGGGTGGCTCAGTCGGTTAAGTGTCCGACTTCAGCTCAGGTCATGATCTCACAGTTTGTGAGTTCGAGCCCCGCATCGGCCTCTGTGCTGACAGCTCAGAGCCTGGAGTCTGCTTCAATTCTTGTGTCTCCCCCTCTGTCTACCCCTCTCATGCTCATACTCTGTCTCTCTCTCTCTCTCTCAAAAATAAATAAAAACAGGGGCGCCTGGGTGGCTTAGTCGGTTAAGCGTCCGACTTTCGCTTAGGTCATGATCTCGCAGTTTCTGGGTTCGAGCCCCGCGTCGGGCTCTGTGCTGACTGCCAGCTCAGAGCCTGGAGCCTATTTCAGAGACTGTGTCTCCCTCTCTCTCTGACCCTCCCCTGCTCACGCTGTCTCTCTCTCTCTCCTAGAAATAAATAAAAATATTAAAAATAAATAAATAAATAAAAACATTAAAAAATTTTAATGTGAAGTTTATTCTCTGAAATGAAGAAAAAATAAAGGTGTTCACTATCACATCTAATTAACATGGTGCTGAAGTACCCAGCTAGAAAAAAACAAAGCAACATAAATAATGTGCATTTTTTAAAGGTATAAAATCTGGAAAAGGCACCAGTTGCCCTTTATAACCAGAGACAAAATAGGACAAACTACAAATTAATGATCTTTCTTGAACTCATCAAGAAGCTAAGGTCACAGGACTAAGAACTGATTTCACATTTAAATAGGACAGATCCCTTCAGTTAGCAATAGAATATTTATTTGCTTAGGAGAGACACTGATAAATACCATGTAAACTGATGAAAATATTAATCTGAAATTTTGTTTTAATGCAACCCACTGCAAATTAAAAACATTGGTTAAAAATGAGTATGTTTTAAAAAAAAGATAAGCTATGTAAACGCTAATCTAAAAGAGCAGGACCAATTGAATTAATTTCAAAAAAAAAAAAGTAAGCTTCAGTGGGAAAAAAGGGAGGAATATTACCAGGGTTAAAGAGAGACATTACGGGGCACCTGGGTGGCTTAGTCGGTTAAGCGTCCGACTTTCGCTTAGGTCATGATCTCGCGATTTGTGGGTTCGAGCCCCGCGTCGGGCTCTGTGCTGACTGCCAGCTCAGAGCCTGGAGCCTGTTTCAGTCTGTGACTCCCTCTCTCTCTGACCCTCCCCTGCTCACGCTGTCTCTCTCTCTCTCTCTCCTAGCAATAAATGAAACATTAAAAAAAGAGAGAGAGGGAGACATTACATTCCAAGTAAGGGCCAGCTTTTCCAAAAGACATAACAATCCCAATTGTATATCTATCTAAATAATAGCACTTCGAAACAGCTGAGAGAAATGGATACATCTAAAAGGAAAAATGTAGGGACACCTGAGTGGCTCAGTTGGTTAAGCGTCCAACTTTGGCTCAGGGCATGATCTTGCGGTTTGTGAGTTTGAGCCCCGAGTCCAGCTCTGTGCTGATAGCTCGGAGCCTGGAGCTTGCTTCTGATTCTGTTTCTTCCTCTCTCTCTGCCACTCCCCTGCTCATGTTCCGTCTGTCTTTCTTGTTCAAAATATAAATAATAAGACATTTTTTAAAAAGAAAAAGAAAAATGTATAGATCCACAGTTACAGTTGGAAATTGCAACATTTATTTCTAGAACAAATAAAAGAGAAAGTGCCAGGGGCAGGGTTGCATATTATAGGGTAGTCAGTGAGGACTCCATTTGAGAAGATGACGTTTGAACAGGGATCAAAAGAAAAGAGTGGGCTTTGTAGATATCTGGAAGAAGCGTGTTCCAGGAAGAAGGGATAGCAAGTGCAAAGGCCCTGAGGCAGGAGCATGCCTGGCAATGAGGGAGCCAGTATGGCTGGAGTGGTATGAATAAGGACAGACTAAGCAAGATAAATAAAAATGAAATGTCCATTGGAGACAGGATTTATGGCAGGAAGGAATGAGCTGTTCGGGGGAGGAAGCCCGTGACAAGGGGTACATTCAGAAAAGGTTGAGGAGAGGGAACTCCCAGAAAGCAGTGAGGGCATTGGAGACAAAGAGAAGAGCGTGTGCAAAGGCAAGCCAGTACGAGGTGGTTTATCATGTTCAAGTACAAAGCTCCAGTTGCCAGAGCAGAAACAGGGCATGGGCCAGGGGTGAGGCTGTGGGAGTCCACTGTAGCCAGGTTGAGAAGGGCAGAGAAGCGACAAGAGACAGGAGGTGTTGAGGAGCCATCAGACAAAGTCAGGAGGACCAGGAGGTTGTGGTGAGAGAGGGGGAGATGGGGTTCAAGGTTTGAGAGGCACAGCAGTTCTGAGTAATGGCAAAGGGTGGAGAGGGGTTATATCAGAGGGTGAGAGGGTGGCCTGCCTCCAGGGTGACTGCAGGACTTGGGGTGTGAGGAAGACCAACCAGTACCTGCGTCTGTCCTCACAACCAGTCTCAGGACATTTGGGACCCCCCAGAGTGGGGGAGCCTTGGCTGCGTGGGATGTGGGGGAATGAGCCATCACCACTGGGGAACACGGCAAGCGAGACCCTTCTGGGCTAGACAGATGCCAGCCGCACTTCCTTTTCCTTTTCCTCCAAGCAGCTCTCTGGGATTGCTCCCCAAAATGTACTGGTACTTCCCTGGCAGTTGGTTCCAGGCGGCCCTGGTGGGCAGGGCCTGTGTCGCGCCAAGGAGGCAGGGTATAGGAAGGGAAAGCCCCCATGGTTTCTGTCTCACTGCAGGGACCCAGCAGGGAAACCCCACAGATCCCAAAAGGAAAGTGGGCCTCGGGGAAGACCAAGAAACCCCCATCAGGTCCCTGCAGATGGAAAATCCAGGGTGGGGCTAGGGGTGGACTGTGCTGGAAGGGAGACCTGTGGCTGAGGCAGCCCAGCCCCGACAGCCATCCACAGAGCAGAAACACACAGGGCAGGACTATTCTGGGACCTGGCTGAGCCCCATCCTGACCTCACACGGCCCCAACCTGCTGAGGCCTGGCCCCCATCATTGACAGAGCTCTCGTCCCAGCCCAAGCCTGAGCCCTGACCCGAGTCACAGGCTCTGTCAGAAGCTCAGCCCAATCTGGACTGAGGTCTAAGCTCAATTCTGACTGGTCCCAAGCAGAGCCTCCAGGTCACTGATAGCTCTGACCCCAAACCCAGACAGAGCTCGGATGTCGGCCTGAGACAAAGCTCTCGATCAAGTCCAGCCCTAGACCAAGTCCTGATGCAGGTTATAGGTAGGCTCTAATCCTAGATCTTACTCTGGCCAGAGACAGAGCTCTTGGCCCTGGATGGATCTGTTCTCATCTGCCCTGACCCTGGTTGTATATTGAGCCCTGACCCTGACCAGCCTGGGGCCCCAGTGCTCCACACAGAGGCCCATCCTGCCCCTCCCCCCCATGACTTCCACACTTCCTTCGCACTCCCTCCCTCAGCCATCTGGTAAACCAGAAAAGAATAGGATGACTCAAAACCCCAAGTCCTCTCTGAAGGGCAATCCCCTTACCTGGCTGTCCATCTTTTGCCAAGACAGCGAGCTGGTGATGGCATAGGCTGGTAATGACAGAGCAGAGAAACAGGAGGGTTTGAGGGTCCAGAGCCCACCTGCCACTAGAGCTGTGGCTCACCTGGGAGTGGGGACACGAGGGGAGGGCTGGTCCTGGGCGCTCAGCAGAGGGTCCGGAGCTTGGATTGCCCGAAACCCTAGCTTCCCGCCACCCCCCACTGCACCTCCCGCCCCCTCTGGGAAGGGAAATGACATTTCCCCATTTCAGCAAGGGGTGGTGGGGAGGGAAGACTGAGCGCAAAGCCGAAAGTACAAGCAGGACGGAAAGTGAAACCGGCGCAGCCCCCAGTATAAGACCCCTGCCCGGGAGATGGCTGGCCACACAGGCTGGGCCCCGTCATGGGCCAGATGGCAGGCGACCTTGGCTGGCGTGAGTTTGAGGCCAGGGCTGGGGGCAGAGGGGTGGCAACTTGGCTGAGACTGGGCAGGGTGTGGGAGGGCCTGACTGGTGTGGATGGGGGCCAGGGGCTGAGGGGCAACTGGTGGGCCAAGGCTAAGGATACAGGGTACAGTCGACCGGAGGATGGGAATGAGGCTGGCATGAATGAGGGTGATGGTTTGGTCAGGTCTGGGCAGCGGAGGGGACAGTCTGGCTGGCATGAATGGGGAGGGGGCAGGAGGGTGATGGTTTGGCCAGGGCTGGGCAGAGGATGGGAAGCCTTGACTGGCCTGAATGGGGAGAGGAGGGCAGCCAGTTTGGCCAGGACCAGGGCCAGGCAGACAAGTGAGGAGTTTGGTTGGAGCAAACGAGCGGGGACTGGACTGTCCGGTTGAGAACTGGGGCTGGTAGAGGAAGAGCAGCAGGAGGAGCCGGCTGGAGTGTGGGGCTGGGGCCAAGGCATCGGCAGCCTAACTAGGTCAAGGGTCTGTAGCCTGGAAGGAGGTCCAATCCGCAGTGGGTGACTCGACTCCGAGCCACAGGAAGAGGAACAGATGGTACGGCCATAGTGGGGACCAGGGGCTGGAGAACGGGGAAAGAGCCAGAGCCAAGGACCCGGGATTGGGTACAGAGAAGAGGGAGAAGCCAAGGGAAGGGTCTGGGGCTCCAGAGCTCAGAGAGGAAACAGAGGGTCAGTAGGAAATGGCATAGCTCAATTTTGGGTGGCAATATCCACCAAAGCCTGGGGGTACCCACTTTCCCTCAAAATGGAACTAAGAAGAACCCCACTCTGCCTTAAGTCTCTGGGATGCCAGAGTGGTCCCCAAGCCAGGGATCCTGAAGGCTGGGGGTCCCAGGAACCACCTACCACCTCTAGAAGTACACTGGCAGGTGAGGTGCCCAGAAGCTTTCCTTCATCTTTATTTGCAGGACGTTTTGAGAAGCAGAGCCCAGGGGTTAGAAATCAAGAGTGGACAAGGGAGAAGCATGGAGAGGAGGGTGAGCAGGAACAGACAGACTTACAGCCTAGTTTTGGTTTGTGTTTCGAGGAGAATTGTGTAACTCCAGTGATTGCTAGATTTCCTCTCCCTGATGCAGAAACCACCAAACACTGGCCTCTTCCCAGACCTCCCACCCTCGGGCCCCTCTCCCTTCTGTCAAGGAAACTCAGGGCAGGAAGTACTTTCAGAAATCAGCTGGTCCGACTACCCCATTTTACAGCTGGGGACCTGAGACATAGAGATAAGAGGTGACTTGCTCAAGGGAAGAACCCGGATGAGAAAACAGAGGTTATATCTCCCATTCTGGGTCCTCTCCCCCCTGCCCCTGGCACCCCCCGTTCTTCCAACACTGCAGAGTGATCCATCTGCCTTGGTGGGGGCTGGACCAATCTGTCCTTCTGACTCCCCGGGATAGAGCCTCTAGCACTGCCGGCCACCCCTGGGCCATCGGAGCCGCCTGGCTAAGCGCAAGGAATTTTTGGCAGAACAGTGTGCCCACTCAGGGGGTGGGGGTGGGGGGGAGATGTCTGCCTCTTCTGAGTCCCCAGACTCTGCATTTGGGCAGATCTGGAATCCAGTCCTGGTTCTCTCACCCTCTAGCCATGTGACCTTGGGCTAGTCAGCTTCACTGAGCTTCATTTTCCTCATCTGCAAAACTCACAGGATAATAGCACCCAGGCTGCCACGTACAGTTGGGCAGTTTGTTCACTGAAAGAGACATTTAGCCAAGGGAGTTAGTGACGGGTCGAGATCGAGCCTGAGATCTGCTTGCAAACACGGGCCTTCTGTGTGAGGTTGTATCTGCCTCGAAGAAGGGGTATCTTCCTTTTGTTCATACGGAGGTGTGATGTGGTGTCCTCAATAGCTCCCATCGTATTGGTGGCTTTGCGGGGTCAACGAGATGGCACACAGGGCTTACCAACAGCACAGGCTCAGAAAAGGCAGACTGAGTTCTTCTCGAGCTTTCCCCCTACCTGGCCCATCTCCCCCTCTCTCCAGGGTTCAGCCTTTTGCTGCTCTCCTTGCTCCTGGCTCGTGCCGGTGTTTGGGGATTCCCAAGACCACCAGGGAGGTCCCCCATGAGCCTGCAGGAGTTGCGGAGGGAGTTCAAGATCAGCCTGCACTTGGCCAGGAAGCTGTTCTCCGAGGTTCGGACCCAGGCCCACCACTTTGTGAGTCTCTCTGATGCAACTGGGTTTGGGGCTGGGCAAATCTCCAGTCCCTCTGTCTCCACTAACAGATCTTACCCTACAGGCTGAATCTCACCTCCCAGGAGTGAGCCTGGACCTCCTGCCCCTGGGGGATCAGCTCCCCAATGTCTCCCTGACCTTCCAGGCCTGGCACAGCCTCTCTGTGAGTGGGGGGCCGGTGGAGTGTGGCAGGAGAGCTGGCGGTAGGGCTGGGCCGGGTGGGTGGTGATAGAGTTGGGGGCTGAATGGAAAATGGATTTGGGGATGAATGGAGGAATTGGATCTGGATGAGGCCAAGCAGGTCACTGGATATAAAGATCCGGCTGGAATAAAGAAGTAGGGTCAGAATGAGCCTGCACATATGGAGGAGGGATGGGGTTGGGATTAGGAGTGGGATTATTGTAGGAAGGAGGGTGGAGACAGGATAAAAACACAAGTGAAGAGACGGACATGAAAGGAAGAGGGGGGTGCCTGGGTGGCTCAGTCGGTTAAGCATCCAACTCGCGATCTCGGCTCAGGTCATGATCTCACGGGTCCTGAGATTGAGCCCCCAGTCTGCTGTTAGCACAGAGCTTGCTTAGGATTCTCTCTCCCTCCCTCTCGGCCCCTCCCTCCCCCTCTCCTTCTCAAAATAAATAAACTTAAAAAAAAAAAAAGGGAGATGGACGTGAAAGGGGATGGTGGGGAAGAGGATAGGGTACGGTTGTGGATAATGAGCGATAGCACAGCGGAGTGGAGTCGGGGTTAGGTTTGATCCTCAGCCTGCAAGCCTTTCCTGAGCCTCTCTCTGCCCTCCCCCAGGATGCAGAACGACTCTGCTTCCTCTCCATGACCCTTCGCCCCTTCCATGCCCTGTTGGGAAGCCTGGAAAGCCAGGGGGGCTGGACCAGCTCAGAGAAGACGGAGCTATGGACCATGAGGTTGGATCTCCGGGATTTACAGCGGCATCTCCACTTCCAGGTACAGTGTTCAGTCCCCTCCCCGGCTCCCAGAGACCGACACACATCGGTGAGACTCATTGGCTCCCTTTTTAAAACACTCCCTGCCCACAGGCTAGGTAAGTTTGGAAGGAGAGGCTGTAGATCCTCTCTGTGTGTGTGTGTGTGTGAGTGTGGCAGCTCTGGCTCCGCCTTCCCTCGATGTCTTGGTCTGAGCAGCTCTGAAGCACCCGGAATAGCTCCTGGCCCTACAGCAAACCCTGTTCCCTTCTCCCTTAGCCTCTAACATCACCGGGTCCTCCTAAACGTTTCCAAGGGAAATAGGCATTTTATTCTCAATAAGAGGAAAACAGAAAATGTAAGCAGCGTGAAGACTGGCAATGCCACCTTGCTGCCCACTTCGGATCCCAAAATGACACTTAAGAGAAAAGCTTCGGGAATCCCAAATGCCCAGGGCACTCCTGGGGTGGTGTGCCAGCTCCACGGGCGGCATCTTACTCTGTGACTTCCATTCTCTTGAATCAAAAAAAAAAAAAATCAGGCAGGACACTTGAGATGATGACATAATGGAAGATCCGAAGCAGGGGCTGTCCCAGGAAATCATGACCTTGTGGTATCTGATGCCATTCTGTACCACGGGGCACATAAAGGAACAATGAATGGTCCGTTTGGCCATTGTCTGACCCACGGGGCCTCTCCCCGCAGGTGCTGGCGGCTGGACTCAACCTCCCCGAGGAGGAAGACGACGAGGAGAGGAAGGGGCTGCTCCCGGGGGCTCCCAGCGGTCTCTCGCAGATGCGGGTGCAGCCGCCCTGGCCTCAGCTGCTCTACACCTACCAGCTGCTGCACTCCCTGGAGCTCGTGTTGGCTCGGGCCGTGAGAGACTTGCTCTTGCTCTCCCAGGCCGGAACCCCAGCCCCAGGCTCGGGGTGCTCATCATTCAGCTCCCCAGCCCCTTCCCTTCACCCCTTCCCTTCGCCCTTCCGTTCAGGCCAACAGGACATCCTCTGAGCTCATTTGCCTTAAACAAGGCAGGACTCCACCGGCCTCCCACCCCAACCCCCACCCAATAACTTAAGGCCCCTCTAGGCCCTGCTAGATATTTATTTCTTGGATATTTATTTATTGTTTAGGAAAATGATGGTTTATTTATTGTTTCAGAGCCTGCTAGTTGTCCTCGGGCTAGGCTGCCACGCGGGCTGCCGAATAAAGCACTCTCATGCTCTCTCGGCCTCAGCTTCTTTTCACAGAAGGGGCACCGGACGCCAAGGGACCAGAGGGCCTGGCATGGAGTCTGTAGTCTCTGGCCACCCTGGACCCCTCGCTGGTCCTACATTTTGGGGGCTCCTGGCTTACCTTCCCCCAGACTGGCTTGCTGGGCTCCCGTCAACCTCTGATCGCAGAGGGAGCTCATGAGGCCTCCTGTCCCCTTTCCTCTGGGCCAGCGCCCACCCCTGAGCTTTGCGCTCCTGATTCACAGCCCTCTGGAGGCCTCAGTGGGGACTGGAGAGGTCAGGGAGGGAAGGCCGGGAGGAGAACTGTCCTGTCCTCTCAGTCCCGCAGAGATGACTCGGAGGGGTAGTCAGGACAGGCCGCGAGAGGCGCGGTCGCAGAAGGCCGGGGAGTCCATCAGCCACGCGGCAGGGTCGGTCTCCTCCCGTTCACGTACACGCGGCTCGCAGACGCCTGCCTCTGTCCGCTCCCAGAATGGCACACCAAGAAACAAAGGCCCAGAGGGCAGAAAGGGTGTGTCCAAAGTGGCAGAGGGGCCAGAGCCCAAGCGGGATTTGGTGGACCCTTCTGGGTGCATCGTTCAGGGCCCAGCTCCCAAGGGCTCGGGGCGCTCACTGGGGTCTGGGCCGGCCCAGCCGCGCCTGCAGTTCCTGCATCATGCCGGAGTGCGCAAGGCCAAACCTGCAGATGGGGACAGGCTGTGGGCGCTGCTCTCCCTGTGTCCACAGCCTCCGTCCCCGGCCCAGCCCAGCCCAGCCCAGCCCTCCTCTGCTTACCCATGTCCCAGGGGTCTTCTCCTGGCCGGCAGCGGGGTCCCTTCAGGCCTTGGGGGGCTTGCCTCTCGGGGTTCCTCTGGCTGGAGAAGTCTTGGCTCAGGAGCTAAGCACTCTTCCTCGGGTGGGGGGCTGGGAGGCTCCTCCTGCCGCTCAGGGGCGGGGGGCCGTCGGAAAGAGGGCCGGGAGCGACGCTGTGAGGAGCTTCGAGACAGGAGTACACGGCTCCGCGACACAGAGACGTCCAGGCGAGACCCGGGGAGCAGGGCCTGAAGGGACAGGGGCACAGAGTACCATGGGGCTGGCTTCCAGATTCTACTGTGTCCAGCCCTGGACCCTGGCCGGAGCCCTCACCTCACTCCAGCTGCCGCTGTGAGCATCCCCTCCGGTCAGTCCTGCGGTCTCCCCGCGTGGCCCAGGTTCGGCCTCCAGGCCTTCTGGAACAATCTCCTCAGCCTCTGCTCTCTGGTCTTCAGTCAGCTCAACATCCTCCACTTCAAAGGGCCTTTGTGCCTCTTCCTCAGGGTGGTGGTCCCCACACTGCCCCTCACTGCCTTGCCCCTGCTCCTTCCATTGCACCCCCGAAGCCTCCTTTTCCAACAGCGTCTGCCCTCCCGGGACCCCCTCGGCCTCTCCTGTGGCCATGGTCCCCTCTGCCCTCTCCACCGGGGAACCCGAGGTCAAGCCATCCATCTCACAGCCTCCCTCTGCCCCTGCAGATTCCCTAACCTCTGTGCCCTCTCTCCTGGGCTCACCCTCTCTGGCTTCAAAAGCCTCTGCTTGGCCCCCTCTGCCATTTACCTCCATGTCTGCCGAGCTCTCCGGGCCAAACTCTGGCCCCCCGGGGCTTTTTTCCCATGCAGCCTCCACCAGCTCTTCTCCTCCCCCAGGCTCCTGCCTCCCTTCTGATTCCCAAGCCTCCCCAGCCTCTCTTTTGGGCCCTCCCCCAGCCACAGCGGCCCTTCCATCCGCCTCATCCCCCACGACCTCAGCAGCTGAAAAACCGGCCCCTGTGTCTTCCTGGAGGCTCAGAGCTGCCTCCTCCAGCCCCCAGTGTCCACTGGATGTTGTGTCTGCCCTGCAGGGGACTGTGGCCTCCGCCACATCCTCATCCTCGCTTTCTCTGGCACCTGACTCTCCCAGTGACGGGCCTGTCCCCGCTTCTGCACTGAGCCTTCCACCCAGGGCCTGGCTCTGTGCTCTGGGGGCCTCTCCCTCCACTGCTCCCCACTCTGCTTCCTCGGCTTTCTTCCACTCCCCGCCTGCCTCCGGGACATCTGGGAGCACAGACTCTCGGCCTCCCTCGGCCTCGGCCTCCTTGGATGCCTGGCCTCCTACAGCCTCCTCCTCCTCCTCAGCATCTGCTTTTTCTTGCTGAGAATCCCCTCTCTCCACATCCCTCCTCTGGGCTACTATCCCAGAGGCATCCGGCTTTCCACAGGCCACGATCCTGGGGTATTCCTCCAGGCTCCTTTCTGTCTCCTCTTTGTTCAGGGCTGGAATGGCCCAGGGCTCTTCCTCGTCCCCCTGTCCTTCCTCAGGCTGCTCTGTAGGGATCTGGGAGCCTGCCATCAACCCGGGGTCCTGGCCTTCGGTGACCTCGGGCTCAAGGCCACTGCGCTCTGACGCCAGTGTTTCTCCACCTGCCTGGGCCTCCCCCTCATTCTTCTCCTCCCTCATCTTCTCAAGGCTGGACTCTGGGGTGGCCTCCAAGCCAGCATCAACTTCAGCCCCATTTGCCACTTTGCTCGTGGGCAACTCAGCCTCTGAGATCCAGCAGCCCTCTCCCTCCTCTTTGGCCTTCTCTGCCTGCACCACCTCCTCCAGGCTGCCCGAAACTGTCCTGTCCACCGACTCGTGCCTTCCCTCGGCCTCTTCCCCTCCTTGATCTGCCTGGACCTCAAACCCCTCTCCCTCCCCCTCTGGCCCCTGGCCTTCTACAGGCTCCCTCCCTGCTCTCTCGTCCTTCCCTGCTTCCTCCATGCCCTCCGTTCCCAGAGGCTGCAGCCGTTTGCGGGGAAAGCTCATCTCAGCCTTTCTATTCTCACCCGCCTCCTCCTCCTGGTCTTCCCCGGCCCCCTCCTCTAATGCCCAGGTCCTCCGAGTGCCCTCCGAGACCCTTTCTCCTGAGGCTACTGCCCCGTATTCTGTGTCCCTGGCTCCCGCGAGGTCACCTTCCTTCTCAACTGAAGGTATCTTGGCCTCTACCCTGCCTAAAGTTACCCCAGGCTCCTCTCCGCCTGAGGTCGTCTCAGCCTTCTCCTCTCTGCCTGAGGCTGCCCCAGCCTTCTCCTCTCCACCGGAGGCTGCCCTGGCCTCCTCCTCTCTGCCTGAGGCTGTCCTGCCCTCCTCCTCTCCGCCGGAGGCTGCCCGGGCCTCTTCCTCTCCACCGGAGGTCGTCTCAGCCTCCTCCTCTCTGCCTGAGGCTGTCCTGCCCTCCTCCTCTCCGCCGGAGGCTGCCCCGGCCTCCTCCTCTCTGCCTGAGCCTGCCCCGGCCTCCTCCTCTCCACCGGAGGCTGCCCCGGCCTCCTCCTCTCCGCCGGAGCCTGCCCCGGCCTCCTCCTCTCCACCAGAGGCTGCCCTGGCCTCCTCCTCTCTGCCTGAGCCTGCCCCGGCCTCCTCCTCTCCACCGGAGGCTGCCCCGGCCTCCTCCTCTCCACTGGAGGCTGCCCCGGCCTCCTCCTCTCCGCCTGAGGCTGCCCCAGCCTCCTCCTCTCCGCCTGAGGCTGTCCTGCCCTCCTCCTCTCCACTGGAGGCTGCCCTGGCCTCCTCCTCTCCGCATGAGGTTGTCCCGGCCTCCTCTCCACCTGAGGCTGTCCCAGCCTCCTCCCTGCCTGAAGTTGCCCCGGCCTCACATTCTGTCTCTGATTCCTGTGTGTTCTGTACCCTTGTGCTTGGGCAAGCCCCTAGGACCACCATCACCGCATCCTCCCTCCCAGCCTCTCTGGCCCCAGGCCCTTGGATCTCCTCTGCAACTGCCTCCTGGAACGCCTGCTCGAATGACTCCCTGCTGCCCCCTGCTACCTTGCCCTCAGGCTCCCTGTGCCAGGTCCACTCTGACTCCGCCTTTCCGGCCACCCCTGCTTTTCTTTCCCTGACCTCTTCCGTCTCCTCCTCCTGTTCCCAGGTTCTCAGTGTCCCCTCTCTGTTCACTTCCTGCTCATCGGGCCCTTGACTCTCCTCGGCTTGGCTGCTGTTGTCTCGATCAGCCTTCGACCCTGCCTCGGATGGCTTTTTGGCCTCTGAGTGGGCACCTGGCGCCTGGCACCTGGCACCCCTGGGTCCTTCCCAGGCCCCAGTGTCCTGCCTATTTGCTTGAGACCCATGGCAGCTGCCTTCTTCCCAACCCCAGGTCTGTTTTGCAGCTGAGCCTCCCTCCTGGCATCTTCCAGCCTCTCCGGGCCCTCTCCGCCCCCCACCCCCCTTGCCTCCAAGGCCCTCCAGGGCTTCCTGGGCTTCCTGCTCGTCAGTCTTCTCTGGCCTCCCTGCAGCCACCTCCCCCAGTTCCTTAGCTGGCCTCGCCTCCCTCCTCTCTGCAGTGGGGACCTCATCGCCCAGAAGGTAGGAGACAAACGTGCCGAGGGAATCCTAGAAGAGAAGGGGGAGGGGACACAAGCAGTGAGGGGAGAGCCAGCCTTCTTAGGATGTTTAGGATGGGACCCGGACCCAGAGGAACTCAGATACAGAAGAGGGGGTCTGGGATCTGGGAGGAGAAAGAGAACTGGATCTGCGGAAGGAAAAGGAAAGGGCTAGATGAAGGGGAGGGGTGTACCTGTGGAGGTGGGGGGGGGATGGAAATCCAGAAACAATCAGGCTAGGAGGCTACCTGATCCTGGGAAAGGAATCTCAAGACTTGAGAGTCTCAAAGGGAGGAGGGAAGGTGAGCCCCAGGGAACAGGGCGAAAGTCTCTGGCGTCTCCTTGCCCCTCTCACCAATGCCCCCCTCAAGGCCTGATGCAGCCCAGGGAGATGGAGCCGGAGAAAATCCATCCTGTCTGTCTCTGTGTGTCCAGAAAGATGACGAATGACCGTCCCCACCCACCGAGACAAGCCAGTCTTCCCCCGGGGCCCAAGACACTTCCTCTTCCCCTAAATCTCCCTGACGCATCCCCTCCCCAGGCCCTGCCCACCTTCTGCAAACCTTCTGGAGCTTACGGTCCAGGCTGGGAAATGGGAGTGCATCACCCCAGGGGACTCAGGTGCATATTTGGAGCTGAAGGGCAAGGGAAGGGGGGCCATAAAGAAAAACGTAGGCGCTGGAGACCTCAGCATTGGGGAGGGGGGGAAGGGGGCCTGCGGCAACTGCAGCTTAAATGACTCAGGTCTTGTATTCACACCTCAGCCATTTCCGTCTCCCCTCAAGCCACAGCCACTCTGTGAGAGGAAGCTGGGGTTTGTGGTTCCTGTTTTGCCTAGGGACCAGGAGTAGGAGTGAAGAGGGGTTGGTAAGAGCTCAGGCTTCCCATTTCAGGGTCATTAATGCTTCCCTAAGGGGAAGAAGGGGCTGGGCTGGTGGCTCCAATGCCCATTCCTTCATCTGTACTCATTCTTGCAAAACAAAACTTGGCTGAGCTTTGGATTGTGGTTATTTGTGTCTACCTCCCAACGTCTTATGAGTTCCTTGAAGGCAGAGGCCATGTTTGACATGTTGCTGAGTTTCTAGGGCACTGCAAGGGTTGTCGGCCACCATATTTCATTGGTTGAGTCACCTGGGAAGCAGACCAAAGGGGACACATTTCAAACAGCAGTCTGAGGACTTGGTGGTGAGAAAGAGCTGATAGAGGTGGGCACCAGCTGGTGGAAGCCCATAGAAGGGATTAGCAGGGGAAAGACTCCATGAAGAAAATTCAGGATGCTGCTTAACTACTTAGAGAAAGGTAAGAGAATAATCACTTATTTGGGACTGTGTGAAGTGACTTTGATCTACACCCCTTCCCCTAATTCCCTCCCTGATCCCCACTTTCTAAATTTCCAACTAAAGGAACTAGATACGATCACAGAATCAGAATCTTGGACCTTAGAACTCGTCTGGTCTAAGTATCCTTGATGCAGGCAGGAACTCAGCCGCAACCTGCTCAGCCAAACCCACTTGCCTCTGGTGGTCTATTTCCTACTGCTAAAAAGGCCTGTAGGGTCACAGTTAGGTCTCACTTTGCATCATCACCAGCAAGCGTCCTTTCTTTGTTTTCTCATCTGTAAAGCCGGCTGGTGGACTATTTCTGCGATATTCTTTGGTTCTAGGATAATTTGGGGAAAGGGATCTCTTTAATGCTTTGGATATTGCCAACAGATAGAAATCCTTTTAGATAGGTGTTATTTTTACTTTCAGTCCTTAAGCAATCTAAGGGCAACAGATAGGAAAAAGAATGACCCGAAACTGGCTGTCTTTGTTCCCAACCAGGAACAGTGAAGGGAGGAGCCAGGTGGCCATATTTATTTCTGTCAATTGAGGGCGGCGAGAGGAGCTGAAGCCGCTCGCTGCCATGCCTAGTGCTGGCAGGATACGGTCGAGACCTCGCGCGCCGCTAGTCTAACATCATGGCTCTTCTTGCTCATCCTATCCGCTCTAGTTTTAAACCAGCCGTTTCGGGGTCCTCCTGGCCTCTCTCTGTCCCACGCCCCGAGGCTGGGAAGGCCTAAAGCGAAGACCGAGAACCCGGAAGTTGTGGTGACCTCCAAGCACGTGATGAGGGACCCGCTGGTGTTGTCACGTGACCCGCCCACCTGCGGTACCTCGGGGCCGAACTTGCAGCTGCTCTTAAAGGTACAGACCGCGGAGCCCCCTGCTTTAAAGGGGGCGGGGGCAGAGTCCCACGGGTGGGACGTGGTGGGGTGTGCGTGGGCGCGAGATGGCGCCCCGGGATAACGTGGTGGGTCGCCGGGCGCGAGTGCAGCGGAGAAGCCGGAGCTGGGACCGGCAGTGGGGCGTTGATCCTTCTCATCTGTCGCAGACCCTCATCCGCCGGGGCAGAGCCAAGTCTGGACTCTCGCTGACTTTGAACTTTTCGAGGGATCTGAACCCAATGCCATGGGAGGCTGTGCGGGCTCTCGGCGGCGCCTTTTGGATTCCGAGGGTGCGTATTCCTGCCCGCCCCCCTGAGAGTGACAGCCTCTGTCCCCACCAGACTCGGGCTTCGGCCGCTGGCTCGGTTCCGGGAGGATCCCCGTGGAGCCTTCGTGCAGCTGCGAGTGGGGTCGAGGTCATGCTTTCTTCTTCTCGCCCTTCCAGGGGAGGAGACCGCCCCCGAACCTCTGTCCCCTCTGTTAGACCGTCAGGGCGCCCTTTGGAAGAACGCGATGGGTTTCTGGTGAGTGGCCTGAAGAGTTCAGCGGAAGTAAAAATGCGGCGGGAAGAGGGGAAGCAACAGGAGGAAAGAGGGAAGAAAGAATTGAGCTGTGAAAAAGGAGCTGAATTCACAAATATTTACTGAACCAGTTGGTTTGCCTGGAGGCACCCGGTAAAGTTCCAAGGCTTTACTACTCATTTACCTACCACCTTCACATTTTGGCCAGATCCTCAGCTCACCTGTAGGAACGAGTCCATGTTTTACTTCAAGCAATTCAGGGCTTAAATTTGTAAATGCATGTATTTTTAATTTTATTTTTTATTTCTTTTTAATTTCTGAGAGAGAGAGCATGAACCGGGGAGGGTCAGAGAGAGAGGGAGACACAGAATCTGAAACAGGCTCCAGGCTCTGAGCCAGCTGTCAGCACAGAGCCCGACGCGAGGCTTGAACCCATAAACTGTGAGATCATGACCTGAGCCGAAGTCGGATCTTAACCGACTGAGCCCCCAGGCGCCCCAATGCATGTACTTTTTAAAAGAAAACTAAGTCACTACTCTAAGCAGAAAACCAGTATTTTCCAGATTGCATGTTTTAATAAGCACATCCCTGCTTTTTAAAAGAGCCTTTAGCTACTTCCTGGAATCATTCAAATATTGAGCTTTGGAAATACTTGTAGCACTAACCTGACCATGGAGGGCTTGGGTGGCACATTGGGTTAGAAGTGGCTTCCCATGTGACTCTGGAAGAGTAACCGCTCTGAGCCTTGGTTTCATAGCAGTGAGATGAGAACGGTTGTACCACTTCACAGCCTAGTGAAGGAGCACGTGCAATCTCTGGCTCTTGGCCCAGTTCCTTTCCCATCACTGAGTGCAGCTCTGGGAAATGAGACTAAGCAAAAAAGATCCTTCGTGGGTCATAAAGGACTTTGGTATTATCTTGTTTTCATCCCTGCAGCCCTCTGTGAGATTCAGTGAGAAGAGAAACTTGTCTCCTCATTTGCACATGGGTAGACCAAGGCCACTCAAGTAGGAAGCAGCAGACTTGGCCACCCCCACCCCCCAACACCATCTTTCTGAGCTTCAAGCCCCGGCATCTTTCTACTGTCCCACAGCACGGCAGAGACCGTGGGTCAGTGGATGAGAAATGTCCCAGGGACTGAATCATGGTGGGAGCTTGGATGAGAGAGTCATCAAGGATGACATCCTTCTCTTCCTGGGAGAGAGAAGATGTGTAGCCAAGTCTGCCTCCCAAGACCTGTTATTTCTAGCCCTAACGTTGAATGGAGATGGGTCTAGTGATAGAGAAAAAACAAGGCAGCTGACTGAAGGCCACAGGAAGGGGAGATTTGGTGCTAGGACTGTGGGTAGATTGTAAGCCTGGAAGGAGGCTAGGATCTGCTCTTCTGTGTCAGGTATATCTCAATAAAACTGCAGAAACAAAAAGTTGATCCCTCTCACTCCAGGCTCCTTGGCCTTTGCAACAACTTTTCTTATGTGGTGATGCTCAGCGCTGCCCATGACATCCTTAGCCACCAGAGGGCGTCTGGGAACCAAAGCCATGTAAGTGACCCTCTATCACAGCCACCATATTTAGTCGTTGTGGGAAGATGAAGAACTCACCCTAGGGCAGGGGCCCCCTTTGAAAAACTCAAGGAATGGGGGTAGCCAAGGGGTTGGGCAAGGGGGCTAAAGTTCCCAGTCTCCCAGACCTCTGAGTGGGAAGGGTTTTTATGAATCAGTTGGTACCAGGGGCGCCTGGGTGGCTTAGTCGGTTAAGCGTCCGACTTTCGCTTAGGTCATGATCTCGCGGTTCGTGGGTTCGAGCCCCGCGTCGGGCTCTGTGCTGACTGCCAGCTCAGAGCCTGGAGCCTGTTTCAGAGTCTGTGACCCTCTCTCTCTGACCCTCCCCTGCTCACGCTGTCTCTCTCTCTCCTAGAAATAAATAAAAAAATATTAAAAAAAAAGAAAAGAAAAGAAAAAGAAATCTAACAACGTGAGCCAAGAATCTAACTTCATTTTACACGTAAACTCAAGATCTATCTCGCTTGCTTTTCATATACACTGAGTTTTCCAGGAATTCAACCATCATTTACATTGAAGGAAGATTGTATTTTGTTTTGTTTGGCTCTCTACCAAGAGCTGTTCACTATATTTGGAAAAATCCCCTCACTGAAGGCATCCCTTATAGTAAAAATGTATTGTTTTCTGGCGGCATTGTAGCTGCCTCATTCACTGTGATTCTAAATATATGTAAAAAGGCTGAGTATATATACACATACCTCTTTCAAATGATCAAATATAAAGAAAAAAGTTCAACATCTGTTCATATTATAATTGTCTTCTCACAAATCCAACTAGGTCATTGTAAGTAGGTGCAAATCTCTGACTACTTCCTTGTATCTTCTAGGGAAACACACTGTATCATTTACATATTTAAGTACTTCTCTGCTTTGCTTTTCAAGTTTATTTATTTATTTATTTATTTAAAAAAAATTTTTTTTAATGTTTTATTTATTTCTAGGAGAGAGAGAGAGAGAGAGACAGCGTGAGCAGGGGAGGGNGGTCAGAGAGAGAGGGAGTCACAGACTGAAACAGGCTCCAGGCTCTGGGCTGGCAGTCAGCACAGAGCCCGACGCGGGGCTCGAACCCACGAACCGCGAGATCATGACCTAAGCGAAAGTCGGATGCTTAACCGACTAAGCCACCCAGACACCCCCGGAACTCCAAATTTCTAAAAATGAAAGCTCCTGAATGTGTTGCCCAAGGAGAGCCCATTTACAGGGCCATCGTTGGCCTTCGGGTCCTTAGCTTAAGGTTTCTATGGTCACCTCACCCTGTCTGTTGTGCACATAGAAAACCCAAGGTCCCAAGAGGCCAATGCTGAGCCAAGGCCATCCTTCAAGTTAGGGCTAAGCTCGGACTGGGTGCCAGGCCCTTTTTGTCTCTCTTCTTGCCTCCCCGGGTAAAAGACTCTTTCCTTTTATCAGGTGGACCCAGACCCAGCGCCCAGCACGCACAATAGTTCATCTCGATTTGACTGCAACTCTGTCTCCACGGCTGTGAGTACCCATCTGGTCCTTCCCCGCCCCCCAACCCCACCCCCAGCATCCAGCTGTGACTGTCGTGATTATAATAATTAAGACCATTGGCTGAGCCTTTCCTGTATGTGGCATTTATTGGCTCATTTGATCCACACAGCAGTGCTCTGAGCGAGGTGCTATAACCACCCCCCATTTGCCAGATGAGGAAACTGCAGCTCAGAGAGTGTGAATCCTAGCTCAGGAGCGGCAGAGTTGGGACTTGAACCCAGAGCTCTCTGACTTCAGAGCCTGTGTTGGTAGCGGGTCCACCTGGCTGGTTTGTGTCTTTCCTTGGCCGTTGGTTGGGAGGTTTGTGCCTGGGACCATCTGGGATCTTAATCTGTTCTCCTGTTCCAGGCGGTGCTCCTGGCCGATATCCTCCCCACCCTGGTCATCAAGTTACTGGCTCCACTTGGTCTTCATCTGTTGCCCTACAGGTCCGGGCGGGGGTGGTGGGAGGAAGGGCAAGTGGGATCTGAGCGCGAGGAGGCCAGGAGGGCTAAGAAGATGGCGGGAGGGGGGTGCCTGGGTGGCTTAGTCGGTTAAGCATCCGACTTTCACTTAGGTCATGATCTCGCGGTTCGTGGGTTCGAGCCCCGTGTCGGGCTCTGTGCTGACTGCGAGCCTGGAGCCTGTTTCAGTCTGTGATTCCCTCTCTCTCTGGCCCTCCCCTGCTCGCGCTGTCTCTCTCTCTCTCTCCTAGAAATAAATAAAACATTTAAAAAAAAAAAAAAGAAGATGGTGGCAGGGCTGGGGGGTTGCGGGCGGAAGCTGACTCCCCTCTTCCCTCCCTCTCCCCCTCAGCCCCCGGGTTCTCATCAGTGGGATTTGTTGCGCCGGAAGCTTCATCCTAGTCGCCTTTTCTCATTCCGTGGGGACCAGCCTGTGTGGTGAGTGTGAGGTTTTGTGTCAGGTGGGGAACCCAGAGGAACTGAAACTGAGCATTTTGGGGTAGTCTCCCCAGCTTCCCAGAGGAAAGGGATTATTTTTGTAACCCTCAGAAGCCTGCTGGGACTGTCACAAGTAGGCGATGGGGCCAGAGGTCATTTTGGACGGGACGGGGGGTGGGGAGAGCGGAGGAAATGGATGGAATACATGGAGCTCATGATGAACAGTCACCAAGACCCCATGATGGGGGTGGCTGAGGCATCAGGGATGAGTTTGCTCCGGAGTTGATACCTGGGTGCATGGAGGTACCATTCCCTACGAGGGGATGTGCGGGGGAGTGGGTTGGTTCTACTTCAGGTCTGAAGCCCGCCTGTCCAAGGGATCTGTTTTTAGCCCCGCTGAGCTGATGCCAAGGAAGCCCTGGCCAGATGCCTCAGGGAACCGGTGATATCAGGGAGGCTGGGTGTGGCCACTGCCATGCTTGTCCCCCCCCCCCCCCCCCGCCAGGTGTGGTCTTGGCTAGCATCTCGTCAGGTCTGGGGGAGGTCACCTTCCTCTCGCTCACTGCCTTCTACCCCAGGTAAGCCGGCGGAGCAGGGAGTGGGGGAGAGGACCTCCCAGTGCTGGCTTTGGCCCTTGCTCATCTCCTGTGTTCTTCTCAGGGCTGTGATCTCCTGGTGGTCCTCAGGAACGGGGGGAGCAGGGCTGCTGGGGGCACTGTCCTACCTTGGCCTCACCCAGGCAGGCCTCTCCCCCCAGCACACCCTGCTGTCCATGCTGGGTATTCCCGCCCTGCTGCTGGCCAGGTAGGCTGCCTGGGCTGGGAGGGTGAGGGGAGAGGGGAGAGAACTAGATCCTGCTCCCAGTCTTCGGATCCCGGCCGCCTCGTAAAGAGGGGATGTGGATTCGGGACTCTGATGGGCTTGGTTTGAGTTCTGGAGCCGCCACTTGCTGGCTGTGTGGTGGGCAAGGTGCTCCACCTTGCCGGCCCTCAGTTTCCCTAGATCTTTAATGGTGGTAGTAGTTCTTCTTGCGTCCTCGTGAGGTGATGTGTGCGAAGCCTCCAGGACAGTGTGGATTCCAAGATGATTTGCGGGGGGCAGGGGGGTCCTTTACTTTATTAATTCTGGGTGTATTAGGACAAAATTTTAACTAGCCAATCACACCTGTGATTCCACAGGTTATTGTTTAGAATGAGGCCGCTTAGTAAAAGGGAATTAATTGGGGACGCCTGGGTGGCTCAGTCACCTAAGCATCTGACTTGGGCTCAGGTTGTGATCTCACAATTTGTGGGTTCGAGCCCCACGTCGGGCTCTGTGCTGACAGCTCAGAGCTTAGAGCCTGCTTCAGATTCTGTGTCTCCCTCTCTCTCTGCCCCTCCCCTGCTCACACTCTCTCTCTCTCTCAAAAATAAATTAAAACAGGGCACCTGGGTGGCTCAGTGAGTTAAGTATCTGACTTTGGCTCAGGTCATGATCTCACGGTTCGTGGGTTTGAGCCCCGCATTGGGCTCTCTGCTACCAGCACAGAGCTCGCTTCAGATCCTCTGTCTCCTTCTCTCTGCCCCGCCACCCCCTCTCAAAAATAAATAAACTTAAAAAAAAAAAAGAAAGAAAGAAAGAAAAGGGAATCAATTTAAAGGAAAATAACAAAAGCAAAAAAATACCATATACAGGAGGAGTGTAGCTCTGACAAATTAGAAGTGACTCAAATTTGAGAAGCTGAATGGACGCATAGTAAACAGTAGCTAGAGCGATCATTAGAACAACCGCCACAAGAAAACGGTTGACTTGCTTGGTGTGAGCCAGAAGTCAGAACGAGGGCCCACAAGTAGAAACAACAAGGAGGCAAATTTCAGCTCCAAAGAAGGAGGCACCTTTCTACGGTTGGAGCTCTTCGGTTGGAGCTCTCCAGCAATGATGGGGCGCTTGTAGAAATGACGGGGTGAGGCTGGGGGCTGCCCTGGGAGGGAGCTGCCTCTCCGGCCTGGCCTGACCGAGGCGCTCCGGTCTTATCTCCATCCCACCCGCTCCTAGCTATTTCTTTTTGCTCACATCTCCCGAGCCCCAGGACCCTGGAGGGGAGGAAGAGGCAGAGACATCAGCGCGGCAGCCCCTGATAGGCAGCGAGGCCCCAGAGGCGAAGCCAGGTAGGAGACTCAGAGCCATCCATCACTCTCTCTCACTGGGTTTTAGCCTTTGCTGTCTACAGTGGACCCGGGTCAGTCGGGAGGGGAGGTAGATGGGTGTGCCGGGAAGAGCCATTTGCCTTCATCTATGCAAGAAGTGCTCTCATTGAGTGCTTGCTGGGGGTCATTGACATAATGCAGATTCGTGAACAAGTAGCTGAATCAGAAGCGTGTTGTTTTCAAGCATTGGTAAGTGCTGGCCGGACATAAAGCAGTTTTGTGGCTGGGAACTGGGAGGAAACAGAAGGGTCCTACATAGAGATGGTGGTCCGGAAGGCCTTTTTGAGGCAGTGTCCTTGAGCGGAAATTTGAATGGCCGGCGTCAGCCTGATGGATGTTGGGATAAACAGATTGCAGGCAGAGGGAACAGCAGGTCCTAAAACCCTGGGGTGGGAATGAGCTTGGATGTTGAGTTCTGTTCTGAGAAACAGAAAGGAGGGGACAGCGGGGCTGGGATGGAGCTGTGTGGCCTTTAAGCTGTGCAAGGGTCATGAAGATGTCTCACCAGTTCATTTTATATATATATATATATATATATATATATATAGTGGTAAAATAGACCTAATGTGAAGTTTACCAACTTGACTATTTTTTTAATGTTTATTTTTGAGAGAGGGAGAGAGAGAGAGCGTGCGAACATGCGCACAAGTGGGAGAGGGGCAGAGAGAGAGGGAGACAGAGAATCCGAAGCAGGCTCCAGGCTCTGAGCTGGCAGCACAGAGCCCGACTCAAGGCTTGAAGTCACGAGCTGTGAGATCATGACCTGAGCTGAAGTCAGACGCTTTGCTGCCTGAGCCACGCAGGCGCCCCTCAATTTGATCACTTGGAATTGTTACAGTCCAGTGGCATTTAAGCACATTGACACTGCGAGTGTGTATGTGGTTGGTTCCTGCACCAGCACCCTCTGCTGAGTCAACGCGCCGACCTCACCTGCCCTTCTCTCCTGTTCTCCTGCAGACTCCAGCCCAAGCCTCTCCCTTCGGGAAAGGTGGACCGTGTTCAAGGTATGGACGGTGGCGGGTCCCCCGTGGCCAGTGGCCACCTGCCAGCCTTCCACTTACCGCTTCTAACCCTTCCAGAGCCTGCTGTGGTACATCGTCCCCTTGGTCCTGGTTTACTTTGCGGAGTATTTCATCAATCAGGGCCTTGTGAGTGAAGGCTGCTGGGAGGGGTGGAAGTAGCAACCGAGGCGGGGGCCCCACGTGTCTCTGACCATCTGCCCTGTCTGTTCTCGGCTGCAGTTTGAGCTCCTCTTCTTCCGGAACACGTCCCTGACGCACGCTCAGCAGTACCGCTGGTAAGAAGGGGGAGGGTGGGTGGCCGGATGGGCAGGGGCCCAGGGGCGGCACCCGAAGGGGCCTCCTCCCACTCCCTGCCTCCACCGAAGGTACCAGATGCTCTACCAGGCTGGCGTCTTTGTTTCCCGCTCTTCTCTCCGCTGCTGTCGAATCCGCTTCACGTGGGTCCTGGCCCTGCTGCAGGTACCGAGCTCGGCCCTCCCTCCATTCCCACCTCAGCTCCCAGACCCCAGGCTTCCCTCCCTCAGCAGGAAGTGTTCGTTGCCCACCGTCAGGTTCTGGGCCCAGGGAACAAAAGGCTGGCAGGGCTCCAGCTCCATGTAAAATGTGTGGCCTCAGGAGCCTGGCCGACCTTCTGTGCTCTGCAGCTGTGTGACTCAGGGCAGGTCTCTAAACCAGCCTGAGCCTAGATTTCCTCCTCTATAAATCAGGTATGGCCAACATCTGCTTCTCAGAGCAGTAGTAAGAAATAGAGATGAGAAGAAGAAGAAAAGAACAAGATTTTATGTTATGTTTTAATCCATTAGAAGCACTTACGTAATGGTTATTTGTACAAGCCTTCTGCGGAGACACAGATTCCAAATAATGTTTCTAAGGATAGGAAAAGAACGTACCGTTCTTTTATTCTGGATGGTTCATTGTAATAGAATCGGTGATGTTGTAGTCAACAGGTTATTGACCTCAAGGCTGGTGAGCAAATTTTAACTTCCCGCAGCAAAAGTTTTACAGTGTTAAGTGAACAAACTCCACTCACTCCCAACAGTCTAACCAAAGTAGCTTCACAGAACCCACCTTCGCTGTTTCAAGGTCCTGTGCCTACAGCCCCTGAAGGTAACTCTCAAAATAAGTCTTTGGTTAGTACAGAAAAGTCCTTTTTAATAAGCTGAGCTCAGTTCTCGGATAATAAGATATAGGACAAATGTAGATTGTGCACTTCCGTGTTATGATGACGCCGTGTGCGTGCCGTCCAGCTTTCTTTCCTGTCTGAGCAGTACTGCCAACCCAGGGCTATGTTACCCCCATGTGCCAAATCGCTGCGTCAACCATTCTAAGCTCAGGGTTCTCAGTAGATGCCACTGAAATGTGTAGTTTACGATTTTAGCTATCCTTTTTTTAAAATTTTTTTTAAGTTTATTTATTTATTTTGAGAGAGAGTGCATGTGTTTGCGTGCCCATGAGTAGGAGAGCAGAGAGGAAGAGTGAGAAAGAGGGAGAGAGAATTGCAAGGAGGCTCCATGCCCCACATGGAATCCAATGTGGGGCTCAAACCCATGAGCCGTGAGATCATGACCTGAGCTGAAATCAGGAGTCGGAAGCTCAACTGACTGGGCCACCCAGGCGCCCCTAGCTCTACTTTTAACAAAGGCCGCTCTGTATAATTGGTGGTTTATCACCATTTAATTCCATTACAGAAAGTATCTGGCCTGATACCACAGACACAAGCGTGTGCAGTGTTTTGCCAGTCACTTTAGTAATACTGGGCGTGCTCTTTCATTTATTAAAATAAAATTTTAATGTTTATTTTTGAGAGAGAGAGACAGAATCTCTGGGAGGGGCAGAGAGGGAGACACAGAATCCAAAGCAGGCTCCAGGCTGCGAGCTGTCAGCACAGAGCCCATTGCAGGGACTCGAACTCACGAGGTGCAAGATCATGACCTGAGCTGAAGTTGGACCCTTAACCAACTGAGCTGCCCACGAGCCCCTACTGGGTGGGTGTGTGTTAGGTTAAGTGCTCAGACTTAACAAATTAGAACCTCTGAGGGCAAGTTCTATGGGTCACCAGACCCCCAGGTCTACATAGCACATCAAGCATGTGAACCACCATGGTGGCTTACCCCCTGGGGAGGCAACCCTGTGTGCTCAGACCTGGGACACTGGGGGTCCTCTGGAGGATGGGAGCACAGAGGAGGGAACTACCCCCTTGGGTGGGGTTGGAGAGGCTTCCTAAGAGACCCGAGAACCTTATAGCTGAGTTCCTCAGCCTCGGCACTGGTGACAGTGGCGCTGGATCATCCTCTATTGTGGGCTGTTCCGTGCCCTGCAGGGGTGTTGAGCAGCGGACATGACCCCTGCCCACTCCCTCCCCACTCCTGACCGCCAGGAGCACCTTTACACGTTGCCAAATGTCCCCTGGGTTGCGCAGTCACCCGGTTGAGAACTGCCTGTTCACGCGTATAGCCTGGTAAAGTGGGGGAGGGGCGGGCCCTCGGGAGGACGGCACTGGGGTGGCGGGGGTCCTGGTCCAAGCTGAGCGGTGAACAGTGGTGACTAGGAGACCCCACGTGAGGGGAACATGGGAGAGCGTTCCAGGCGGGCAGCAGGAGCGACATGAGCCAAGGCGAGGTGGGGAATGACCTGCGAGGTGTCGGGTGCTGGGGCAGGACGGGGAGAAAGCCCACCCCACATCTCAGGGTCTGGTAGGCCAGCTGGGTGCTGGGATTTGGTCCAGGCCCGTCAGCCCTCTCAGCATCTCTCAGATCCTGGGGCCACCGGGCGGGATCGCGGCCCCCCTTCCTGCCCGCCTCAGCCCTCCCCTCTGCCTGCATCCACAGTGCTTCAACCTGGCCTTCCTGCTGGTGGACGTGTGGTTGAGCTTCCTGCCCAGCATCTACCTCGTCTTCCTGATCATTCTGTATGAGGGCCTCCTGGGCGGTGCTGCCTACGTGAATACCTTCCACAACATCGCCCTGGAGGTCAGCACCAGCTGGGTGAGGGCTGTGGGTGGCCTCTCTAGGGACGGCCAGGGCAGGGGCGTCCAGGACCGAAGCCTCACCCCTGCTCCCTGCCCTCCCCAGACAAGTGATGAGCACCGGGAATTTGCCATGGCAGCCGCCTGTATCTCCGACACCTTGGGCATCTCCCTGTCCGGGCTCCTGGCCCTACCTCTGCACGACTTCCTTTGTCACCTGTCTTGACACTCTGGCTTCTTGGGACACAGGACACACTAATCTGGGTCCGCATTGACAGGCGGGCGAGTCAGACCGCGGGCCTACAGCCCAGAGCCCATTCACAAGCTCTGCCCTGGACTTCCCTAAACTGGGGTGCAGAGAAGTGCTGAGGTTCCGTTCCCCCTTGCGTGGGGGGCAGCCGTTTTCTCCCACTCCCAGGCTGGCCTTGGGGAGTTTCTTCACAGCATTATGTGTCCTTGGAATAAATACCTGTTTTAACAATTTTGTCAGTTGATTCCTGTGCCGTTTTTTCTGGTTGAAAATTTTTTTTCTTTTAATATACAAGTAATACAAACCCACTTTGGAATATATACAGGAGAGAAATGCAAGAAACGCAAAAATCATTGCAGCAGATTTCTACTTCGTCTTTGAGGCTTTACTCATTCATTCATTCATTCACTGCATGGGGCAGTCTACAAACATTTCCCCCTAACATGTAAGCTTTCAAGCATACAGGGAGGTTGAGAGAATTCATATTGATGTAGGCACAGTTCTACAGTAAACCTTTTGCTATAATTACTTTATCCCATATGTAACACTCCATCCAAATCCAGCCTATCTTATTTTTGTGACACCATTTCAAAGTAGGAGGCTGACTTTAATACACTTCCCCTGTTTTTTTAATTTTATTTTTTAAAGTTTATTTTGAGAGAGCGAGTGGGGGAAGGGCAGAGAAAGAGGGAGAGAATCCCAAGCAGGCTCTAGCAGCACGGAGCCTGACACAGGGCTCAATCTCATGAACTGTGAGATCGTGACCTGAGCCAAAATCAAGAGTCGGACATTTAACCGACAGCTATCCAGGCGTCTCAAGATTTTATTTTAAAGTAATCTCTACAGCCAGCCTGGGGCTCGAACCCACAACTCTGAGACCAGGAGTTGCATGCTTTGCCGACTAAGCCAGACAGGCTGCCCTAATACACTCCCCTCTGAACACATCAGCACACGGGGGTGCCTAGGTGGCTCAGTCAGTTAAGCATCCAACTCTTGATTTTTGGCTCAGGTCCTAATCTCACAGTGTGTGGGATCAACCCCCATGTCAAGCTCCATGCTGACAAGTATGGAGGCTGCCTAAGGTCTCTCTCCCTCTTTCTCTGCCGCTCCTCTTCCCTCTCTCTCTCACTCAAAATAAACAAATGAACATTAAATGCTTCAGCATGCACATTAACTAGAATCCAGTATTTTTGTACAGTCCTTTTTTAAGTATAATTTTTATACAGTAAAATGCACAAATCATATATATTTTTTAATTTTTTAAATGTTTATTTTTGAGAGAGAGAGAGCACGAGTGGGGAAGGGCAGAGAGAGAGAGGGAGACACAGAATCCAAAGCAGGCTCCAGGCTCTAGGCCGTCAGCACAGAACCCTATGCAGGGCTCGAACTCGAGCCATGAGATCATGACCTGAGCCAAAATCACGAGTCAGACACTTAACCAACTGAGCCACCCAGGGTCCCTTGGGACCACACTTTTTGAGAACCACTGAATTATGCTTTTCCTTTTTAAAACATTCTCTCTTTTTTTAAATGTTTATTTTTGAGAGAGAAGGAGAGAGCAGGGGAGCGGCAGAGAAAGAGGGAGACGGAGGATCCGAAGGGGGCTTTGTGCTGATAGCAGACAGCTTGATGCGGGGCTCGAACTCACAAACCATGAGATCATGACCTGAATTGAAGTGCTTAACCCACTGAGCCATCCAGACCCCCCTTAAAAACATTCTTTATAGGTCTTCCCCCCTCCTCTTTTTCAGTTCAACAAATTTATGAGTTTGTTCTTCAGGCCAGGAACTTTTTAAATAGAAAAGCAGGTTTCGTTTTGATGGGTACATAGTATTCCATCACTGTGGCTCTTTATGGCTTATTTAATCGTTCTATTAATGCTGGCCATTTGTCTTGTCTCCATCTTTTATTATTGTTAATTTTATTAAAAATAACCCTTTGTACATTAGATTTTTCTGTATCCAAGAGTATTCCTTTGGGGTAGATTCTCAAAAGTGAAATTTGAAGGATGCGTACTTTTTGAGTGCTGATAAGTAACCACATTAGTTTCTGAAAGGTGTTTTTTTCACCAGTTTAGTGCACCAGCCATGTGTGTGTGTTTCACAGCACCCTCCTGAGCACTGGGTATAATCATTTTCAATCATTTGCTAAGTGAGTGAACACCTATTCAATCTTGATTAAATGTTTTTAACAGCTTTATTGAGATATACATCACATAACCGTGTACTATAATTGGTTTTTGGTATAATCAAAGATAAGTATGCCCATACAGTCAACTCTAGAACACCTTCATCACCCCACAAAGGAATCCTGGACCCATTAGCTATTACTCCCTACTCTTCCATCCCCACCCCACCCCCACCAGCCCTAAGAAACTTCCAGTCTACTTCCTGCCTCTATAGATTTCCCTATCCTGGGCATTTTGTGTGAATGGATTCATCTATACCATGTGGCCTTTGGTGAATGGCTTCCTTCTCTTAGCATAATATTCTTAAGGTTCACCCATGGTGTAACATGGATCAGTAATTTTGGTGCATCCTAGGCAGAATGCCTGTGTGACCTGCCCCCAGTAAGAACCCTGGTGCCGAGTCTCCAACGAGCTTCCCTAGTTGGCAACATTTCAGAGGTGTTGTCACAATTCATTGCTGGGAGAATTAAGTATATCCTGTGTGTTTCCACCAGGACAAGACTCTTGGAATCTTGCGTCTGGTTTCCCTGTACTTCATTCCATGTATCTTTCTTTTCCCTTTGCTGAGTTTTGGCTTGTTTCCTTTCGGCCATGAGTATGACTATACGCTGAGTCCTAGGAGTCTTCCTAGGGAATCACTGAACTTGAGGGTGGTCTTGGGGACCCCCAAACTGGGCCCAATTTCATCCTTTTGCATGTGGATATCCAGGTGTCCCCACACCATTTATTGAAAAGACTCCCAGGGCATATGGGTGGCTCAGTCAGTTAAGCGTCTGACTTCGGATCATGATCTCACAGTTCATGGGTTCGAGCCTCGTGTCAGGCTTTGTGCTGACACCTCAGAGCCTGGAGCCTGCTTTGGACTCTGTGTCTCCCTTTCTCTTTGCCCCTCCCCCGCTCATGCTCTCGCTCTCTCTCTCTCTCTCTGTCTCAAAAATAATTAAACTTCTAAAAAATGTTTGTGAAGAAAAGAAAAAGACTCCCTATTGATTTGTTTTTGGAAAATCAGTTGTTAAAAATCAGTTGGCTGTAAATTTGGGGATATATTTCTAGACTGTCAGTTCAATTCTATTCATATGTGCTTATTCTTATGCCATTACAGCACTGTCTTGATTACTGTGGTTTTTTAGTGAGATTTTGAAATAGGGAGGTGTGAATCCCCTAACTTTGTTCTTCTTTTTAAAAAATGTCTTATGAATTTGAGGATGAGCTTGTCACTTTCTGCATAGAAACCAGGCTGCGATTTTGATAGGGATTGCACTGAACCTGTAGATCAGTTTGGGAAGTATTGCCAACTTAACAATATTAACTCTTTTGATCCATGAACATGAGATGTCTTTCCTCTTATTTAGAATTTTATTTTCTTTCAACAACACTTTCTAATTTCAAAGTATACATTTTGCACTTCTTTTGTTAAATTTATTTCTAAGTATTTTATTCTTTCTTGATACTTTCGTAAGTGAAATTGTTTTCTTAGTTTCCTTTTGGGATTGGTCTTTAACAAATGTATAAAAATAAAATTGCTTTTTGTCTTTTGCTCTTTTATCCTCCAATCTTGCTGAACTCATTATTACTTCCAATAGATTATTGGCAAATTCCTTAGAATTTTCTATATACAAGGTATGTCCTCTGCAAACCTATTTAATCTAGCTGTCTTTTATGTAACTTTTTTTGCTTAATTGCCCTGGCTGGAACCTCTAGTACAACATTGAAGAGAAGTGGTAAGAGTAGACTTCTTGTCTTATTCCTGATTTTAGGGGAAAAGCTTTCAGTCTTTCATCATTAAGTATGATGTTAGCGGTGGATTTTTTGTAGATGTCCTATATATCATATTAAGGAAGTTCCCTTCTGTTCCTAGTTTGTAAAGTGTTTCTATCATGAAGATGTTTTGCATCTTGTCAAATGCTTTTTTTCTCACATCTATTGAGATGATCATGTGGTTTTTGTCTTTTATTGATATGGTGTCTTACATTGATTCATTTTTTTCTTTAATGTGTATTTATTTATTTTAAGAGAGAGATAGAGAGGGGCGCCTGGGTGGCTTAGTCGGTTAAGCGTCCGACTTTCGCTCAGGTCATGATCTCGCGGTTCGTGGGTTCGAGCCCCGCGTCGGGCTCAGTGCTGACTGCCAGCTCAGAGCCTGAAGCCTGTTTCAGTCTGTGACTCCCTCTCTCTCTGACCCTCCCCTGCTCACGCTGTCTCTCTCTCTCTCTCTCTCCTAGAAATAAAGAAAAAACATTTAAAAATTTATTTAAAAAAAAAGAGAGAGAGAGAGAGCATGAGTAGGGGAGAAGCAGAGAGAGCAGGATTAGTCTCCATACTGTCAGTGCAGAGCTCAATGCAGGACTTGAACCTAAGAATCGTGAGATCATGACCTGAGCTGAAATCAAGAGTCAGGTGTTTAACTGACTAAGCCACCCAGGTGCCCCTACACTAATTCATTTTCATATGTTAACCCACTCTTATATTCTTTTTTTAAAAAATACTTTTAATGTTGATTTATTTTTGAGAGAGGGAGACACAGAATCTGAGGCAGGATCCAGGCTCTGAGCTGTCAGCACAGAGCCCGACGTGGGGCTTGAACCCATGAACCTCGAGATCATGACCTGAGCCAGAGCCATCCACCCAACTGACTGAGCCACCCAGGCGCCCCCTGCTCACAACTTTGTATTCCTAATCAATCTTACTTGGTCATGGTCTGTATATTAGATTTTCTAGTATTTTGTTGAGGATTTTGTGTCTCTAATCATAAGAAGTATTAGTCTGTAGTTTTCTTATGTCATTTTTGTCTGGTTTTTGGTATCAGGGTAATGCTGACCTCATAAAATGAGCTGAAAAGTATTCTCTCTTCTTCTTTTTTTTTTTTTGGAAGAGTTTGTGAAGAACTAGTATTAATTCTTTAAGTAGTTGCAGAATTAACCAGCGAAACCATATGGACCTGGGCTTTTCTCTGTGGGTAGTTTTTGTTCCACGTGGTTTTTAAGCACTTGAAATGTAGCTAGTATAACTGAGAAACTGGACTTTTAATTTCGTTTAATATATAACAA